CACCACCACACAGAGACCCTAAGCCCATCCCCACTTGCAGATAAACAAATTGAGACTGGGGCGGTCAGACCCCTCGTGCAAGGTCACACAGGTGACGAGTGACAGAGCTGGGGCTGTAATTAGGGCCTGACTCCAAGTCCATGCCCTCGTGGTCTCTCCTCAGGAAGTGTGGTCAGTGAGGACAGCGAGTCTGAACCGCGGGAAGCAGAAGTAGAGGAGCTCATGTTGAGCGTCTCAAGGTCATAAAGGAGAGGAAGTGAGGTCATCTCTAGAGACGGGGCTTGGAGGGTTTAGTCATCTTCACAGAATTTAACGGGAATAGAACGGGGTTGGAATGGCCACTGTGGGATAGTCCAGGGAGTTGACAGCACAACTGAGAGGAATTCTGGACAGCCATGGGGGCCCAGCTGAGGCTGCATAATGTTCATTCTGCAGTGTAACCAATGAAGGCATTTTTATGAGTTTTTCCAGCAAACTTTCACCGCCCACATGTATAGGACCGCAGAAGAGATGTTTTTGCTCACTCCTTGGGACTCCACACTTGATTACAAGCCCGGGAGAGTAAGATCACGTGCAGATGCACCGAGCCATCTGCGGAGAAAGGATAATGGGATCCCCTGGGGCCAGGGATGGGCCAGGTGGGAACAATGGTGGCTTGGGACGGGTGAGGAGCACGTTCTCCTCCGCTGGAGGGACTGACCGCAGGCAGTCCTGTAACAACAGAGCGGGACCGGAAGGCTGAAGTGAAGAAGCAGCTGCTTGCAAAAATACTTACACTGATGTTCACACATTAGAGCGGCCTAGGAAACAACCGCTTCCCTACTCACTCAGAGTGAGTCATCACTTGCGTCAGGCAAGAAGAGGGGAATGCTGATCTCACTGTGTTTACTACCCGAGAACATGGGGGGCTGGACAGGATGGTAAAACATCCGTCCTGGTAAAAGCCTGGTGTTTGCTAAAGAGGTTGTATTAGGGCAACGCTCCACTTTCCAAAAACACCACACTCAGGAGATAAGAAATAGAGTCATTTTTCTTCCAAGGCAGAAGATTTAACATTGCTTAACAGTAATACTTAACAGCCTTAGCCCTTAGCCTTAAGCAACATCCTAACTACCAAGTGGTAAGAACTTTTTCCTGGGCTAGGGCTCGGGCTTCGGGAAGTGTGTGTTGGACTGGCAGCAGGGCACATGAGCCTACTTAAAGATGGCTGAATCCCGTGAAAGCAGAGCAGGGTGGCCTTGACCTGGGCTGCTAGCTCCCTCCCTGCCTGGGGGAGGGAGTGTGGTGTGCATTTTCTCTCTGTGTGTCAACAGTTCCAAATTGGGCATATAAATCAGCATCACTGCATTAACTTAAAAACTACTGTGATGCTCTTCATAAACCACATGGGAACCAAATCAGTTAGGAGCACATTTAGTCCGTTGTAAGGTTGACCACCAACTTCCCATAGATAGAATTTTCCTATTTTAAAAAATTTTTATTTATTTATTTTTAAATGTTTTGTGATTTTATTTTGTGTGTGTGTTCTAAGATTCATTGTTTATGCACCACACCCAGTGCTCCATGCAATTCGTGCCCTCCTTAACACCTACCACCAGGCTCACCATCCCCCTACCCCCTTCCCTCCGAAACCTTCAGTTTGTTTCTCAGAGTCCACAGTGTCTCATGGTTCATCTCCCACTCCGATTTCCCCCAGCTCACTTCTCTCCAACTCCCAATGCCCTCTGTGTTATTCCTTATGCTCCACAAATAAGTGAAACCATATGATAATTGACTCTCTCTGCTTGACTTATTTCACTCAGCATAATCTCCTCCAGTCCCGTCCATGTTGCTACAAAAGTTGGGTATTCATCCTTTCTGACGGAGGCATAATACTCCATAGTGTATATGGACCACATCTTCCTTATCCATTTGTCCATTGAAGGGCATCTTGGCTCTTTCCACAGTTTCACGACTGTGGCCATTGCTGCTATGAACATTGGGGTACGGATGGCCCTTCTTTTCACTACATCTGTATCTTTGGGGTAAATACCCGGTAGTGCAAATGCAGGGTCAGAGGGTAGCTCTATTTTTAATTTCTTAAGGAATCTTCACACTGCTCTCCAAAGTAGCTGCACCAACTTGCATTCCCACCAACAGTGTAAGAGGGTTCCCCTTTCTCCACATCCTCTCCAACACATGTTGTTTCCTGTCTTGCTAATTTTGGCCATTCTAACTGGTGTAAGGTGGTATCTCAATGTGGTTTTAATTTGAATCTCCCTGATGGCTAGTGATGATGAACATTTTTTCACGTGTCTGATCGCCATTTGTATGTCTTCATTGGAGAAGTGTCTGTTCATGTCTTGTCCTATTTTTTTTTAAAGATTTATTTTATTTATTTTAGAGAGAGAGAGAGCACGAGCAGGGGAAAGGGCAGAGGGAGAGGAAGAGGGAGAGAAGCAAACTTCCCGCTGAGCATGGAGCCGGGCGTGGGTCTCCGTCTCAGGACCCTGAGATCATGACCTGAGCCGAAATCAAGAGCTGGACACTTTGCCAACTGAGCCACCCAGGCATCCCTGAATTATTCCTATTTTTAATTAAAATTTTAACTCCATAAATATCATAAAGCTCCCTGCCTCTGTGACAAAGAGGGGACGACGTGCCTACTGAGATGCGCTCACCTCCCTCTCCTGGCAAAGGGAGAGCTCCGTGGAGCTGCTGTGATTCAGTGTAGGGGACAGTAAGATCTCCAGGGTCAGGGAGACTAGAAAACCAGGGTACATGTTGCTGGCACACAGACCTGGGTCTGCAGTGGGTCCCCTGCCTCTGCATTTTGCATCTTGTTGGGTAAACATGGAGGCCCCACCATGGACTGGAGGCACATTGATGAGGGTGCTCTGCATCTCCCCTTGAGGTGCTGAGATGGAACCTTGAGGCGGAACTCCTCCATTTGAAAACTAGTGCCAGAGACCTCTTGTGCATTTGTCTGAGCCCCATTGATGGTCCATCACGGAGACTTCTGGTTGCCAGGTGGCCACAAAGGTCTGTTTCCTCCTGCAGCTAATCACTCCTACCATGAATGCACTGTTGGTCAAAACTGTTTTTGGTCTGATATGCTTCTCTTCCAGCTACAGTTATATTCTTGGGGCTGGCAGGATTTTGTCAACTCATGGTTGTGACAGTAGCTCCCGAGCCACAAATAGCATAAATTTATTGCCTTTGTCAGAAAACTCCCTCTGCACTGTTTAATCCTAAAATAGACTTGTGGAGAGTCAGCCACGATTGAGCATTTCAGGGCTTATTAGTAAAAATAAATAGGAGTTGGAAATTCAGAGGACTTTCTGCTAATAATTACTAAACTAAACATTTGTTGCTCTGTCATAAGAAATTGATTTGCTGCCGCCTGTCCGAGAGAGAGTAGGGTCCTGAGGATGGACTGATACCCTGTCTCCAGTTTTCAGATTCTCAGGGCTTGATATGGAGTAGATGATTAATAGATATATGGGAAATAAATGAGTGAAATTTCTAGAGTTTTCAATGTTATTCCTGAGCTTTTGATTTGTAAAAAAAAAAAAAAAAAAAAAAAAAAATTCCATTTCCGCAGTCTGGTACAAGTTGGCCAGGAAGACATTAAACTGTTTCCAGTTTTTCTCTTTTTCTCCCCTCTCATAAGAACATACTACTTTCCATCTGCCTTAACCACAATTTCCATACACTTCAATACTGAGAGCCAGAAATGTTATATTTAAAGCAAATTTTGGAGATGACTTCCATTTTTTTTTTTTAAGTGAAAACAAAATACGAGGCAGAGAAAAATAAGGAGAGGAGAGAAATCAAGAATGAGAAAAGACTATGAGACAACATACAAAAAAAGAAAACAGGGAGATAAATAAGATGGAGTTGTATAGAAGCTTTTAAAACATTGTAGTCAGAGTATCCTGCCCAGTCAATGTTAACAATTGGTTCTTCACTAGATCTGAGATTTTATTATTTTTGAAAATCAACATACTATTTATAAGAGCAGATGGTCACTTAAGCTATGCCTGTTGCAATATCCAGGATGGTATTTTTGTAAATTCACATACAGAATTATAGCCAATGTGAAACTCAGCACAGCAACTCCCTCTGCGATAACACTTCAACAATTCCACTTTGATGAAAAAGCTCTATTTAGGATCCTCCCCCCTCTTTTTAAAAGGAGATATTCCGTAACATTTCAGTTTTCTGGCTGGCATTAACATTTCTTTGTTTGTCCCCCACCCCCTCACCCCCGAACTCACCATTTCTCACACACCCCCTTCACTCCCATAGTCGCTGCACTAGACGTAATCTTGGAAAGTTCTCCTCTTTGTCATGTGCTACTGATAGCAGACCAAAATTATTCTTCATCTCAGAGATAAGAGCACTGGCCTTTGAGAATTGTATCTCATTTTCAGGGGTGTCTAGTTACAGCAGAAGTAGATCGCGTTAGGCCAGAATCACCAAGCGAACTTTTCCCATGTGATTTTTTCCTTCCCTCACCGTGTCTACGCCTCTCAGCAATATTTGCTGACTGCCTAGCGAACCCGACAGATTCTAAATCAAGCAAAGAACATCTTCCCAGGTTCACATTTCTCTCCTGCTTTTTAACACCCACATGAAGCTCCAAGGTTAAGGTTGGCTTGCCCTTTCTTGTAGGTAACTGCTAGGACCAAGGATTTACTATTTTATTGTTCCTCAGCGTGGTGCACGAGGTTCAATGCTATTTTTATAGCAATGGCTTAAGATTTCCATTCTGGATCCAATATTCTTGCTGACATGTTCAATTGCAATGATATACTATTTTCTTCCCTTAAAAAATAACCCACAAGTGTTTCAATTATTAGCACAGTTGTGAAGATGGCACGAGTGTTGTCACAGACGACAGTCAGGAAAATTATAACACAGTCCCCAACTCAAAGCCAGATTTCTATTTCATGTAGATTTCTCTAAATACTTTATTTGTAGGTAAGCTGATGATAGGAGACCCCTGAGTGATCTACCTGGGTAAGGACGCGTACTGTCTCTCCATTCCCTCAAAGCGGACGTTGTGTGCATTCCCATCTGGACCCTTTCCAGACACCTGTGGAGAGAAAAGTAATTAGAGATGAAGATCCATTATACACCCTGGTTACTGACAATGCATTGCAAAATTACAATCAGTGCCCAAATGCTGCTGCTGCCTGCCAAAAACCAACCATGGAAAAGCAAACACGATCTCAGTATTGCTACAGGAATTGATGATCAAGCCACAAACATGGCATAGAACAACAGTCGCTTCTTTCAAAAAGGGTCATTGCCAAACTGACCCCTTCCTGTCACCAAGCTGGGGAGCTTCTGTAGGCTGTAAGACCCACCCCCTTTTTTTTCTTTTTACATTGGCTTTAGTTTTTACAACAGCTCGAGACTTACAGAAAAATTGAGAAACAGTGCGGAGTTCCCAGAACTCAGTTTCCCTCCTGCTAACATCTTACATTAGTATGGTGTATTTCTTCAAATGAATGAATCAATATTGATACACTACTGTGTATCAACCCACAGTTGATTTGGATTTTAACCCAATCCCTTTCCTGTTCCAGGATCCCCTATTACATTTAGCCATCATATCTCTTTAGGCTCTACTTGGCTGTGACAAGGACTGTATTTTTATTTTTAAAGACTTTATTTATTAGAGAGAGAGAGACAGAGCACAAATTGGGAAGGGGCAGAGGGAGAAACAGCAGGGAGTCCAATGCGGGGCTCGATCCCAAGACTCCAGGATCACGACCTGAACTAAGGCAGATGCCCAACCTACTGAGCCACCCAGGCACCCGGGGACCATATCTTTTAAAAGTACCTTTTCCATGAAACCTTTCTTTACTAACAGGGGCAGGTGACAACGGTTACTCCGCAGCTTCCATGAAGCCCTCCCTCACCCAGACTTCACTTAGTTCCCTTGCCTAGGAACTACCACAGAGAAGAGACTGCCTCTTTTCTATCTAGGGTTGATCTTTAGTATTTTTTTCCTCTTCCATTGTACTTCTTCTGTTCACCTCTCTTCCAGTCTCCTCCATCAGCCTCTGAGACACAGAAGAGCAGTATCTGGCCCCAGGACTAAAGTGTGCTAGCTTTGTGGATGTCGAGACTTTATACATAGTCCTTCTGCATCTATCACAGCAATCCAAAACAGGATGAACGCACCCAGGTATTTAAAAGTATTTGTTGACTTGTCAATTCATCACCTGTTCATGTCAACACATGTGGTTTTGTGGATCCCTTATGGGCTGGCTCTCAGGCTGGGCTAGCCCTCACGGAATGGGCATGGAAGGGGTAAACAGAACACCTGGGCCATTAGAAGGGGGAAGGGAGAGTTTGTAAGCACAGGAAGTAATGGTGCCAAGTCAGTAGGGGAAATTTTTCTAGGTAGCATTGAACTTGCAAATTATTTTCTTCCTGCCAATAGTTCTAGCTCTCTACGAAAGCACCATCCCAGCTTGGGTGGCGTGCGTGGGGAGGGCTTCTCGTGAGAGGTGTTGCAAAACAAGTATACATGCTCATTTAGAGTAAGAAAGACTATTCCCGGTATCAAATCATTAGAGGAGGCTCTTCAGAGTGTGTCCTGCAAAACTTCTTTGTATTTCACGACTCCATGGAACAGGAATGGCCAGCGTTATCTGAGAGGGCAACATCCCAGTGAATTACGAGGTGAGGATGAGGACTGCACACACAGACTTAGAAGCAACTGCCGGGAGACTGAGAATTCTCTGCATTAGGTTAAAAGCCCTGATTTAAACCACCGACCTTTCTAACAAAGACCAGAGACAAGGGTGGTATCAGACAAACAGGGGATAAAGAAATGGTGCAGAAAGAGAAGGGAAGGATACAATTACTGTCCTCGGCCACTTCTATCTAAGGTTTATTTTGTTTTTAACCTGTTGGTTATGGAGGAAGAATTAGCGTGAACACCAGGACTATTTAATTGTGATTGTTGGGTATTATGTGTATGTATCCCTACTATGGCTCTAGACATTTACAAGTTATCTTTTCTGGTGGCCACAAAACTCCAAGTTAATACTTCCAACACTGTTATCCAGAACTGGCCTGGCCCAGGGACGGCTGTCTACATTCTGGTGTCTCTCGGAGGCAGCACCCAGGTGCCTCTTTTTCTGAAAAGCTACCAGCATAAGAGATTATATGAAATGTAGGATGAACCTTATCTTAAGGAAGTTTTTGTGTTGTTGGGAAAACAAGTATCAAGAATGAAATCATTAAAGAATGATGTAGGACAACGTATGATCCCATGCCATTCAGGATGTTACTAAGAGTAGTATAGGTGACACTGGAAGGTGTCAGGAAAAACTTCCCGGAAGTAGCAGAACACAGACCAAAGATGGGTGGCATGCTTCTATATCAAAAATTATTCTCTTCTTCACCAGCTGTGTAGGTATTTAATTATTATATTTATATCATGCATATATCATGCTTCTCTATTAACATGACAACATCTTCAGTGCAATCATGGACTTAGTGATTACTGAGCAGCTACTGTATCCCAATGCCACGCTAGGCACTATATTTCAAGGAATGAAGAAGGGCTAGATTTCTTCATGGCATTGAATATAGAGGAGACAGGCCTGCAAACAATTATGGTGCAATGAGATCACTGCTGGAGTCAGCATGAGAGAGCAGGCAGTAGGAGTCTGAAGAAACAGAAACGAAAGTCTGCCTGGCAGAGTTGAAGACAGCTTCATACGGGTGTTGAAGCTTCATTGAAAACTTGAATATGAATGAGGATAAGTTATTTTGTGGGGGGGGGGGGAGAAGGTGTAGGAGTAGCAGGAGAAGGCATTCTAAGTCTAGAGAACAAAAATGAAACAATATGGAGGCATTTAAAAAAGAAAAGCACTGGTTTTCAGGGAAAGTCAAGTGTTTGGTTAAAGGAAGAAACAGAACCTATTGAGGAAAAGGGTATTCGTGATAGCAACACCACCACTATTATTATGGCTATAACCATTACTGCACTTTTTTCTTAATGAGCTTTGGTTTTTTAGAGCACTTCCAGGTTCACAGCAAAATTGAGAGGGAGGTACACAGAGTTCCTATCCCACTACCCCCACCATGAGGAACATTTGTTACAATTGATAAACTTACATGGACACAGCATGCAAAGTCCAGAGTTTACATTAGGACTCACTCTTGGGGATGTACATTCTACTGGGTTGGAGCAAATGTATGACATGTATCCATTATTATAGTACCATACAGAATTTTTTTCATTGCCCTAAAAATTCTCTGTGTTCTGCCTACTCATTCCTCCCTCTCCCCAAACCCATGGTAACCACTGGTCTTTTTACTGTTTCCATAGTTTTGCCTTTTCCAGAATATCATGTAGTTGGAATCTTAGAGTCTGTAGCCTTTTTAAAATATTATCTTCTTTCACTTAATAATATGCATTTAAGTTCCATCCGTGTCTTTTTGTGCTCGATAACTTATTTCCTTTCAGTGCTGAATAATATTGTATTGTTTGGTTGTACCACTTAATCCACTTATCTACTGACAGACATCTTGGTGCTTCCAACTTTCCACAATAATAAAGTTACTAGGAACATTGTCTGCAGATTTTTGTGTGAAGATAATTTTCAATGCCCTTATGGAAATAGCAAATAGTGCGGTTGCTGGGTTGTATGCTCAGAGTATGAAACTACTGAGCTGTCTTCCAAAGTGGCGGTACCATTTTGCATTCCTGCTAGTGATGAATGAGAGTTCATTTTACTCCACATCCTCACCAGCATTTGGGGTTGTCAGTGTCCCAGATTTTGGCCATTCTAGTGGGTGTGTGGTGATACCTTATCGTTGTTTTAATTTATATTTTCCTGATGACCTATGATGTGGAGCATCTTTTCATATGCTTATTTGCCATCTGTATATCTTCTTTGATGGGATGTCTGTTAAGGTATCTTTGGTCCATATTTTAATTGGTTTGTTTCTTTACTTATTGTGGGTTTTATTTTTTTTTAAGATTCTATTTATTCATTTGAGAGAGAGAGAGGGATCACAAGTAGGCAGAGAGGCAGGCAGAGAGAGGGGGGAAGCAGGCTCCCCGCTGAGCAGAGAGCCCAATTTGGGCTTGATCCCAGGACCCTGAGATCATGACCTGAGCCCAAGGCAGAGGCCCAACCCACTGAGCCACCCAGGCGCCCTTATTGTGGGGTTTTAAGAGTTCTTTGTAGTTTTAGATAACAGTCCATCATATGTGTCTTTTGCAAACATTTTTTTCCAACCTGTGGCTTATCTTTTCATTCTCTTGACAGCGTTTATTGCAGAGCAGAACTTTTTAATTTTAATGAAGTCCAGGTGACCAATTCTTTCTTTTGCGCATCTTGCCTTTGGTGTCATATTTAAAAAGTCATTACCAAAACCAAGATCATCTAGATTTATTTTCTGTGTTATCTTCTAGTACTTTTATAGTTTGCATTTTAAATTGGGTCAGTGATTCATGTTGAGTTAATTTTTGTAAAGGGTGTAAGGTCTGTGTCTAGATTCATTTTTTTTTTTACATGTTGGATGTCCAGTTGTTACAGCACCATTTGAAAAGACTATCCTTGCTACACTTTTATCAGAGACCAAAATAAATATTTATTTGGGTTTATTTCTGGGCTCTCCATTCTGTTTCATTGACTTATTTGTCTATTCTTTCACCAATACCACTCTGTCTTGATTGCTATAGCTCTATAATAAGTCTTGAAGTTGGGTAGTGTTAGTCCTCTAACTTTGTACTCCTTTTTTTTTTTTTAAGATTTATTTATTTATTTATTTGACAGAGAGAGAGAGAGAGAGAGAGAGAGAGATCACAAGTAGGGAGAGAGGCAGGCAGAGAAAGACTGGGAAGCAGGCTCCCTGCTGAACAGAGAGCCCGATGTGGTCCTGATTCTAGGACCCTGGGACCATGACCTGAGCTGAAGGCAGAGGCTTAACCCACTGAGCCACTCAGGCGCCCATCTTTTTACTTCTTCAATATTATGTTGGTTATTCTAGGTCTTTTGTTTCTCCATATGAACTTCAGAATCAGTTTGTTAAGATTCTTTAGAATCAAGAAAATAACTT